AAATTTCCTCTCTGAAGGTAGATATGCCTCCACTTTGTTCCCCCATGTTGGCCTCCTGGTCACGTTTCAGATCTCGTAGCGAAGCGTAAAGGCTAGAGTACTTTGGTGTATGCTAAGTCAGCTTTATTTTCACAGAGCAACTATCCATATCTTAATTTCCACATCCACAAAGGTCACTTGTGCCCGGAAGAAAATATAATCACACCTTACATGGTCCTGCCATTTAATTTACATTATACGCCGAAGCAAACGCTACCGTACGCAGTTCAACAGTTGTTCTTGCCTCTTCTTTGCAGTGTCCATGCGGCACAACAACGCTGATTTGAAAAAGACGCGGCACAGGTGGATCTTCGTCCGAAGAATAACTCCTTTCGCAGCCCAAACACTGGACAGGCTTCCAAAAGCAGATGATGTTAAAGCGATGTCCTATTCAACCCTGACTGGCTAGATGGTGCCATGGCTGAGATGATGGAGCCGAGACACTCAAACTGGTATATCACCCGAAGCACTTTATGTCTCTTTTCCACTTGGAGGCCAGACCTGCTGGATCACTAGTGAAATCGCCACTAACCATTAACAGTAAGCTTGGGACGTGGTCGAAAAATAAAAGAGAATAACAGTCGATAAACGTGAGGATTCTTTGAACGTCGAATTTTCGTATGTGGTATGAAAGGCAGAGAGCCCAGGCCAGAGAAAAGTCCACGCACCTTTGGTAACTGACGTACAGCAGAACGTTTAACATAAACTCAGAAATAACCAGCTAACGAAGTAGTATTTACGGAACGTTGACAGAATTCACGATGTGTAGCGGGGCAATTTTACTTGGGAAATGACTACTCTGCTCGAGCCGAAGCTAATATCATAGTTTATCTGTCAAATAAAGAAAATGGGTCCAGCGATAATATTCAATATTCGAAACCACTTTACCAAACTCGATGCGTCACGTCAGGCATCAGGGCTGATTTTTTCAGCATTGCTGACTTGTGACTTCAAGACACGAAGACAGTCACTGAGAAAACTCACTATGATAAGTGGTCTTTCACAAAATGACCTGACGAAGAATGTGGCTGATTTAACTGTCTCATGATACTTGCTTGGGTAAGAACATTCCAGATTATAGCACTCTGCGCTGCATGACAGATTCTAGTAATGTCGGTCGTGAATTTCATCATCTTGATAACCTGTGTCAACGTTTTTGATAGAACGGGACGGTATCAAAAAACTATAATTCCAACCACATTGCGCGCTGTACGCAGTCAGTGAATATACTGAATGCTACACTGTTTTCTTCCCGTTTATAGCCATTAACTTTGACTCCTGGTTATGTGCTGGTTCTAAAGGCGGTTCGTTTTCTCACTGATTATTTTGAGAGCATAACGTAAACGTGCAAGTGTAATTCTTTTTGTGACCTGCACACTGATTTTATGCATTTTTATTTTCTTTTGCTGAAAAATAAAATTCCTTGGCATCTCAAGCGGTAAACTTTCATTCATGTATTAACCACAACTGACTCGCTCCAAAGATGGTCGACGGTACTATCATCAACATAGTTGTTTTGTACTTCAGCCAGCTTTCTTACATGTCGCTTATGCAGTTTGCTAATGGGTACAATCAGTCACACTAGTAATCTCCCA